GAAAAGTCACTACACATCTTTCCACCGTCACAAGCTTTAGAAGAAAGCATTGACTACTTCTCACATAAAAAAGCGAAATTTGCACCTAAAATCCCACTTCTAAATATGAATATTTTCTTACAGTCTGTATGCAATATATGCCTTTTTTTTTCTTCAAAATTTTCCCGCTCTTTCCAGTATGTATTTTGGTGTCCTCAAAATACATATTGGAAAGAGTGGGAAAATTTTGAAAAAATAATAAGTACTTCTGCACCACCGAACCAATTAAATTCTCCATTCCAACGATGCACAGATTTCTCACCGCATTTCTCACCGTTTGTTTCCTTGATAGGTATAAGAAATTGCATAAAAGTCTTGACTTCATTAACGTGTGTGCCAAGTGGTATTTCCATCAAAATAATAATATCATTTAAAATGATAAAATGTTGATTCGTGACAATGGGTATGACATAAGCAGTAAAAAGCCCTGCACTAAACTCGCTGCAATATCCAATAAGTACGCTCCTTAGATATCACTAGAATTATTGCCGTTTACGATAAAATGACATTCAGTATTCATCAGTTGTACCCTGACGTGTGTTGTCGCCATCAGGAAGACATCTATTAGAATAGATGTTAGTAAAAGATCCATATCAAAACCAAACAACAGCAATTCGAAGATGTTAGACATCATGAGCCCAGTACGTGATAATTGTCAAAAGATTTTCTGTAACATATCGTCAATTCCAAATTCATTCTTCATAATGACCCTTAAAATGCTCTGTTCCTTATAACTTCTCTTCCATCGATCGACGAATGACGCAGAATTGGCAAAATTATAAATGCTGAACATAACAAAAGATAAAATGATGCCACTGCTCATCATGTATTCGGTCTATATAAACTTCGAGTTGAATTTAAAATCACAGCAAAACTTCCACATAATGTAATCATCACCAGCAAAAGGAGAATGTAAATTTTGCGAACGTCTTTAGCAATCTGCATTTCTGTTTGTAATATTTGCTTTGCTTTGAAGAGCATAAAAAAACGTCATGACAAGTTACACAGAAAAGTCTCCAGTAGTCCTTTTAAATAAACAAAATAATTTTCCATTCTTAATCTTAAGTGGAAAAATTATTGTAACAAAATAAAGGAGTATTTTTAAAATACTTCAACTATATTTAGATGATAACTTTATCTACCGTAAAATTGCCACGTCGTCCGGAACGATTTTGATAACTAAGCGTACTTTCCGCCACATACTGGTCTCTTTCAACAGCAGGACTCAAACTGCAATCACGCCAAACAGTTCGTCGTTCTAACATTGGTACCTATAACAATATACTATTTCAAAATGCAAAAAATGCTTGGATCATATCAGAAATCAATAAATTTCACGTACCATACCACGTCTCAACCTTCTTCCACGTTCCATATATCGACAATACATGTGTTTATCCACCAAAGCGTGCAAAAATCACTCCATTCCTTCACTGCCTCCTAAACTGTCTTGCTCTATAATTATTTCAATTGGCTGCTAATTCGCTCTTGATGAAACACTTCTGGAAATACCATCTGCAATATGAGAACGCTTATTACATAACTCTCCTTCACATACCTTTTATCCTTGCACCAACTACTTGCAGTATGATTTCTCATTTTTCTCAATCTCTAACAAACATTAAACAACACAAATTCCATCAAGCACTCCTTTCATTTTGCTATTTTTCAGCATATATCACAACTATAAAGAATAATTCCCAACGATACATTTTTTAATCTCCTACTCTTACCAAATTCATCACTTGTCAATATTCTTAATGTTCAATTTCCAACTAATACTATTTCCAATGTTTTCAATCTCTAATCCTCGTCAAAATCGTTATGTCTCCACACACAAGCACCAACATGCTTGCTTACACAACATAAACAAACCGGCCATTTAAAATTCGATATTTTTTTGTCATGTGGTATGGTTCGATTACGAATGAAGGGATAGCATGAAAATTGCAATCCTAGTCCTCTTTTAATCATTTTTTCCGCTGTTTATACCGAGGGAAAATGGTACGTGAATGGTACGTGAAGTCTTTGCTAAGTGGGCGTGATTTATCACGTCTTGATTATTTTTAAATCGTGTACGCACTTTTTCTCAAAAAATACAACACTTCTTACAAACTTTTCCAATAGACTAGGATAGAGAAGTAGTATTTGATATGCGGATAATTTATACATTCTCGTGTTCAGAGGAAACGGTAGGCCTTCGCAAGCGTAGTGTTATGGATACTTGCACAAAAGTAATTTATTGTGATAGTTTAGTTGAATACTAAACAGGTTTAGTTATTGATGGCACTTATAAAATTGTGGTAACTGCAATTGTGCTTCTTTTTTTTGGTCGTTGAATGCATTGTAAATTTCAGGTTCTCTCTCGCGACAACATTTTTTATTGGATCTTTTTTCAATAAAATTTCAGATTGAACAATTTAGATTGTGAAGAATGAGAATTGAAAAATGTTATTTTTGCTCTTCTAATATTTATCCAGGTCATGGCATCACTTTTGTCAGGAATGATTGCACTGTAAGTTTTGGTGTTACTGTTGAAGTTAAAGAGTTGACTAATGTAAAATAGAAATGAAGAAAAGGATCTTCTCGAAAAGCATGATGCGAGATCGAAAATCTGTTTTTTTCATAATTTGTAATATCCTTAGCAATTTGTACTTTTCTATTCAGTTAGATTAAATTAAATAATATTTTGGCACCATTTATGTCGATCGTTTTAAATCGATGGACCCGTCTGTGGTCAATGGCTAAGGGCTGAAACAAATTGAATTGAAGGACTTAATTTAGCTTAATAACATTTCTACAGATATTTCGGTTTTGTCGTTCAAAATGTCACAAACTGTTCAAGAAGAAGCGTAATCCGAGAAAGACACGATGGACGAAAGCTTCACGTATGGCACGCGGCAAGGAGCTGAGAAATGATAGCACATTTAATGTTGAAATGCGACGTAATGAACCGCTGAAGTACGAGCGTCAATTGTGGCGTGAAGCAGGTGCATCTTAGTTAAAGTTACAACATTCTAATGTCAATAAGTCTTTCAGTGACGAAGATGAGTGTTACCCAAGCTATTTTATAGTATAATATGGAGTAGTAATTTGTGTTTTTTCTTAATTCGTAATATCTTAGATTAACAACAGGCTTCCTGTCACTTATGTAATAGTACATTTCAACGAATTACCTTTGTTCTGCCCTTGGTATTCGAAGGTGAAACACAGATACTAAGCTTAATAATTTTGGAATGTGCATAATGATAGCTTTTAATCATATAAGCTTCTTTTGTTTTACCACTTTCTTGTGAGGTTCCTTTTAAATCAAAACTGTCACTGCCCAAACTTATTTGCTAGTCTTATTTAATATTTTGGTGGGACATATCTTTTATTCTTCATTGGTCCTTGGCGATTTGTTCTCTACTTCTCTCTCTCTCTTTGTCTTTAATTTGTCAATGTTTTTTGTGCAAGTATTGCCGTTTTCACTTTGCATTTTGCAGTTGATACAGCCAAAGAAGTAATAGCATTGCGTGAGAAACGTTACGGTGAGCATATCAAGAAAACTTTGCAACCTGGTAAAGTTGTCAAACGTATTGCTGATCTACAGAAGGCTCGAAAGAAGATGTATTTAATAAGTGCTCCTTTGCAATCGAAAAAGCAGGCCAATAGTACTGGTGAAGTTGAGCAAAAAATGGAAGAAGAGATGGAAACAAACTGATAAATTCTTGCAATGTTATGGGTTGTCGTTTTTGTATATTTTTGTTTTTGATAATGCTTGTGTTAAGATAAAATCATTGTTCATCGCGTAGATAATCTCTTGACTCGGCTTCGAAAGTTAAATATTGCAGTATCCGAAGCAAACATTGACCTGAAAGAGGAATGTCACATTCAGTGCCAGTCATGTTAGGATAAGTGGTCTTCAACCTCATCGCTACTTAGCGCATTGCATAACGATGCATTCATTTGGATGGCCTTCGAAATATTTTTTCTACAATATGATGAAATACACTGCACACAAGCTCTCTTCGGATTTTTTTTATTAACATTTGAGTGCACCGGGTAAGATGTATGTATATATATGTGTATGTGTGTGTGTATGTGTGTGTGTGTCTGTGTGTGTTTGGAGATAGGTAGTGGACGGATACAGACAATTTTGGTTTGTGTTCAGTTTAATTCAACAGCGGGAGAGCTGTCGTTTTGAAAAACCGCCTTGGTGTCATTGGTAGAACAAAAGCGACAGGTAAGGTGGGGAGAAAGGCAAGTAGTTCGTGATCGTGTACATATATATAATATATATGGGTGTGTGTGTGTATGTGTGTACTTACTGTGCGGCTTCATTATTTTGTGTTATGTTGCATACATTCTATAGATTTTGTCATCTAAAATTTTTCTTTCTCCATCAATGTTAATTACAAGGATTTGATCCTCGAATGGTGGTAATCTCTGACACGTGCCAACAATCAAACCATCTTATTTTCCATCCAGTGAAAAACGACAAACATTACAATACTAATTCTGTAAATATTCTAAATTCAAAAAGTTTGCATTCAGAAAAATCTGTGATAAATATTAATTAAGTACTTTTTTCTCTTTTTTTTCCTTTTATTTTTGGTCTATAATCATAATCTGTATGGGCCATATTTAAATTATATTAACTTATGAGCAATAAATGGGTTCTTGTTTGGGTAAAAAATCATCATCAGCTATTTTGGAAGCAGTTCATCCAAGTGCATTAATTCCTGTGATTGATTCCACTACCTTTCTATCAACTTCTGCTGCAATCGTTATTGAACAATCAAGCGGAAATCATATTAAAACAAATTGCGCCACAACGGTTTCAACAAAATTGCCCAATACAAGTCCACCATTGTTTGTGGCACTATTCGATTACGACGCACGAACAGACGAGGATTTAAGCTTCAAAAAGGATGAATTATTGTATATATTGAACGATATGCAGGGCGATTGGTGGTATGCTAAGAGTAAAACGACTAATTTATCCGGTTATATTCCATCAAACTATGTCGCTCGAGAGAAAAGTCTCGATGCACAAGCGTAAGCTCTAAAATTTGTTTTTTTTTTTTTAATCCAAAATATTATCTTATCGCATTCTTCATTTATTCATAACACTATTTTTAATTCCTGATATGTTATTAGCAAACAATATGACTATATGCACATCATCATTTTATATCTAATTTCGGATAATGGAAAAAAATATGTGCAATATTTTGATATAAAAATACTAAAATTTCTCGGTTTGCAAGCTCTTGAGATTAGCTAATGCTTTCTTTATTCGTATAATTCTCTCAGATATCCACAAATATTCAATTTAAGTAGTTTTTATCAGTTATTATGGTTAATTCTCATTAGTTAATAATTTAAATATCATTTCTGACTGTTTACTTTTTATGTAATATTTTTCCTCTGATCATATTTACATCGATTATTTATTTATTGCTTTCTTCGTTTTCAAATTGTTTTGCACTGTCGTATTGGCACATATTTTCAAAATTTAATTTTTTTAATGAAATGGAGCTAAAAATCTTTTCTAAAGCTTTTTTTTTTTGTTGCTCTTTCAAAGAAAATAGATAAAACGAAATAAAATTTACTAAAAATTAGATTGAAAAAGTTTTCCAATAATTTGAAATCGAGGCATTGTTATCAAATTTTGATTATGTTTATCTTTTGTTTTGCTGGGATGTGTGGAAGAGTGAAAATGTTTTTTTTTGATGGAATTAAAAAATCGAATTGAATTTCTGATATCAAATTTAAGTTACTTCAATAAATTAAATTCAAATTTTTAACATTTCTGAGCCATTCAATTAAAAGTCACTTGAATTATAAGCAAGATTAATGAGATTCGATGTAATGTGATGAGAATAAATCAAATTTTGTTAAATTTGTTAAAAAATATAGACAAAAAAATCACAAATCTATTTAAGGCATCTAATTTTTTTTTTTCAAATTTCTTTCTGTACTAATTGAATTATCGGTAACTCTCAGGAATTCTTCACAGTCTATCATATCTCACTGTACATACTGCTTGCAGTTGCATCAGTTCTAACGTCAGCAGTTAATTCTCAATTTTAAATGTTTTTAAATAAATGTTCGAACGTTTTACCAGTTAAATATTTTCTATCAAATTTAATAAAATTTGACGTATTGTAATTATTTTAGACAGGTGAAATGATCCAATCAAGCAAATTAAATTTATATCTCTCCATCACCTAAAAATAGTCAATCTTTAATGAAACAATCATTTATATTAACTTGTTAAAAATTAAAATTTCGAATTTGCATAATCTAAATCAACCTTTTCATAAATTTGACGACGAAAACAATAAAAAAAAGAAGAAAAATTATTTCATTAATAATTCATTTTGTTTTTTTTTTTTTTTTGGAACCATTAAAATAAAGAGTTACAAAAAAACAAACGATTTCATTAATAATTCATTTTTTTGAAGAAATTAAAATAAAGTGGTGTTATGAATGGAAATTTTCAAGCAATATTAATGAATATAAAAGTCATTCGACAGCATTCCTTACAAATTTCACCATTTTTTTAATGTCTTATTTAATTTTTAAATGGTTTATTAATTTAATTTAAGAATGTAACTTTTTTTAAAAAAAAAAAAGAAGAGGAACAATTGTACGACATAACAAGTTCCATTACTTTTTTCGTTCATTTCAGAATGTGAAGTGAGGAAGGAAAGGATGGAATGATAGTTTGATTGGAAAATACGTTACCAAAATTAGATATTGAACGGTTAGAAAATGATTAAATTTTTATGGCATTCTCTAAAATTATTGCTCATTTTAATAGATGGAAGGGAACAAGTTTAAGATGAGGGAAAGGGAGAGAGAGAGAGAGGGAGGGAGAGAAAAAATTGAGGGTTTTTGTAATAAGAATTATTTTATCAATTTAAATAAATGAGAATTAAATAAGTTGAGCGCAGATGTCGCTATGACCTAGAAAAAATTATTTATTGCATAAATAATTGATTTAAAATATACATTGCATTACCATATTATTGTTTAGACTTCTTAACAGATGCCTTCCACATTTATAAAAGCCAGTCCTTTAAATTTCATATAGCAATTTTCTCTAATTGCTACATTTTCCAGGAAATTATCCCATCGCATTTTATTGTCCATCTGTTTGGCCTCATTATTATTGAGTGACAGTGATAGTGAAAGAACCAATTTATTTCGTGTCATTTATATTAATTAAAAGTTAACATTTTGCATTCAAACTGCCTCGTAAATTAATTAATAGCATGCCGCATGGATGCTACTAATTACTGTTCTTCATTCAGATAATACCTAAATTAATTTAATTTATGCATTGCTTGAAATAATTTGATACGTAAACGTGTATCATGCGCATTTGAACACATGCAACAGTTCGTTAAGTGAAATAGTGGAATAAATTTTTGAAAAAAAAAATGGAGTAAATACCAATATATACACTGTTAGTATTGAAAATAATCATTTTTACATCTACTTTTTTTTCCATTTTTTATAAATAAATTTCCATTTGAACTTTTACATTTCATATCATTTTAGCGATCGTCCATTATTTAATTCAGTTTTGCACTGTTTGCTTTTTTAATGATTGATGAAAATTTAATTACAATTTTTAGGCGATAAACTTTTTAGTCTGTTAATGAGCAAATGTCTAAATCGTTAATGTGTCGGAAAGAACAAAAAA